TAAACTCTCGCCGGGTTTTTGAATTCTCGATTTGATTTGAGTTTTGAATACTTCTTGCCTGTAATGGTCTCCGAAGCGCAATTCTAACGTCTGACTTAAATGCTGGTAATTCTGTTGGTAGATTGACGGAATGGACAAGAAGGTCTAAGGCTGGTCCTCGTAGCGCCACTATCAGTGCTGTAGCTTTTTCTTGATCGTTCCATCCGTTGATATTTGCAGCAGCTTCAAATTGTCGGATATACATGGTCCAGGATGTAGAACCGTCAAAAGTTGGTGGTTCTATCTTCATACTGGAGAATGCTCCTAGACTAGCTGGATTGATGGACTGTATTTCTAATCTACGCACCTTATCTTCGAGTGCTTGAACTTGGTCCTCAACTTCTTGTTTTAATTGCTGAACTTCGGTTTTGACTTCAGCTTTTACTTCCTGAAGGTCGTGTTTTACTTTTTGCACATCGTCTTTAACTTGTTCAATCTTCTGGTCTAGGTTAGCGACAGTTCCTTGTATGGTTTGGAATATCTTCTGCAGTTTTCCAAGGTATTCTTGCCGTTCTTGTTGTCGCCTAGCTTCTTCCCAAGCAGCACTCTCATGTTGGGCCAATATTGGGACAATAAATACGATTTATTGGCCCAAGTCAGATTCTCTATGTTGGCCCAATAAAAGATGTGGACATTCTGCTATATTTATCCAAGAACGTATGTCAATATATACCCAAAAACAAATACCAACGCTGGTACAATAACGTAACTAAATGTTGGCCCAAAAAGAAATAATCAATATCATATCAAGAACTTTATGCAATATAGAGCCAATTGAAATTACCAATATTGGCCCGAAGACGTATGTAAATCTTGGCTTTATATTATATTTTAATTAAGGTAACGGACCAATTATAAGGACCGACTAAGAACTTTTTCTCTCTGCCGGACCATCCGTGGACCCGTTTCGCTGTATTACAACTCATCAGCATGGTTGAGTCCCGCCAGAGTCCCACAGAGAGAAAACAACAAATTTTTGGCTTCATCCCGGAACCAGGTTTAAGACAGGTAAAAGGAAGACAGAGTCTCCATCTATTTTTTGGTTGGCACACCAAGTGCGCACATTGAATACCCTATATTGGACCAACATTTTCAATCCAGAAAATCTAACCTTGGTAAAAATTAGTATTTAAATATTGGCCCTTCATTGGGCTTTTCAAAAAGTATCTATATTGTGAAAAAATTGGAAATAAATATTGGGTGTACAAAGTTTTTGAAGTGAATTTAAATATCAATAAAAAATTGAATGCCAATATTGAATTAATATTATATTACAATATTGTTTCCAATCAATAAATCAATATTCTAGTGAGAAGTCTTGGGCCAATATTCAAATTACTGAAAAGTTAATTATTCTATGAAAACAATATTGGTACAAGATTATTTTTAAATATTGTTTTCACATAGTTAAAACTAACGTTGCCCCAATATTGGTACTGTGTTGATTTAGCAACAAAAATAAATAAATATTGGCCCAACTGAAAAACGATGTTTACCCCATATTATGTGCTACTTGGGTTCTTCTTGTTTTTCTTTTTGTCGTCTGGCCTCTTCGTCTTGTTTTTCTTTTTGTCGTCTGGCCTCTTCGTCTGGTTTTTCTTGTTGTCGTTTAGCCTCTTCTTGTTGTCGCCCAGCTTTTTGTTCTTGTTTTTCTTTTTGTCGTCTGGCCTCTTCGTCTTGTTTCTCTTGTTGTCCTTTAGCTTCTTCGTCTTGTTTTTCTTGTTGTCGTCTGGCTTCTTCATCTTGTTTTTCTTGTTGTCGTCTGGTCTCTTGAAGTTCCAACATTTTACGCAGAAGTTCTTCAACTTTTTGTTCGTTCATTTTTGCTTATTGTCTTGTGATAGGCATACCTATACAGAACGTTCTAGAATTTCCCTCGAACTTTCCTCAAATATCTTTTCTGGTCTTTGCTCGAAGTTCCAAACACGCCGGTGAAGTCACAAATTGGATAACTTGCTTTATTCTAGAATAGAATGTTCTGGAATTTTCTTGATACTTCTTTTCTAGATGTCGATTGATACAGCAAACACGTCGGTGAAGTCACAATTTCGATATCTCCCTTGGTTTCCAAATAGAATGTTCTAGAATTTTCCCGAAACTCCTCGAAAAACCTCTTCTGAATGACGATTGATGTTCCGAATACGTCGGCGAAGTCACAAATTCGATATCTCCCTTAGTTTCCAAATAGAATTTTCTAGAACTCACTCGAAGATTCACTACACAGTCAAAATCGGGTACAGAGTCACTTCCGGGGTAATTTACACGATCGGTTAAGTCTCTTTTTGTGATTGTCACTGTTTGCACTGAATAACTGTCCCAGTGTTCAGTTCAGTTCACTAAGTGTTCAGTTTTTACACTACACTAGTGTCCCTGCACTTCCGCAATTGGATTTCACTCTGCAGTCCTTTATATCCTACTTCTGGCACCAATGTCACGGCTCTGGGTTGCCTGCTGACAATTATCTTGGGTTCGTTGTTCGTTTCGTTTATTCCAAAAAATCAAAGTCCAATTAACACAGCAATGATTTATTCCACTTAACAATACACTCTGACACTATTTACTTTAATAACAAACTCAACAATAATTGTTGAGTTTAATTATTAAACTCTTACAACTCGCAATAATCACTATTTAAATCGTATCACAGTCAAACTGAAACTAAACTACAAAGCAATAGCCGCCTTTATATATCCCCAAATCTATTCCTGTAACATCTAGAATACACACGATAATCTTATTTTCCCGAATTAAGTAGAATAATTCGCTAGATTCTAGTATATTCAAGAGATAATACCGAGAGATTCTTGACAGCCTGGCGAATCGTCATAATATGAACGGTCACATTGTATCATTACCTTTCGACAAAACAAATAGACTTTGCTTTGGCCATACCGTTACAAATCGTTTAGCATTAGAGAGATTTTGAACCACCTATTTGATCAACGTTATACGTTATCGGTTATTTTGCTCATGCGTAATAGTGAAAAAATAACCGGCCCGCTTAATAAGCGGTAACGCACTACGCTAATTATGCGGAAATAAACGGAACGTTATTAACCGATAACGTTTCAGCATTTCGACGTCTTATTATATTTTCAATGTTATTCATGAAGTGCAGTACATAATTACACAAAACAAAACACAAATAAATACCCAACCATCCTAACATAAACAACAGACAACATAAAATTTGACACTAGTTACACAGATTCAAATTCCTAACCACAAATTTTCATTAACGTTTAGCGTATAACGTCCTTCACAAGTTTTGGCTTCAAAAACTAAAAAAGGCTAAATGTCATCCGCTAGTTTTCAAAAGACTGCGCTTGCTCAGTTTATCGTTTAGCGTGTAACGTATTTCAAAATTTATGTGGCTCAAAATCTCTCTATTATTGAAGAAATCTACGTCTTTGTGGCGGTATAGCGGCTACTTGGAACCATCGGAACGGTATGGCATGGTGATTTTCGTAAATGACTCCTCAAAGGTGATCAGTTAAAAAAAAATTAGCTTGTTACAAATAATTTTAAAAAAATATTAAAAACTAACGCACGCCGACTGGTATGGCGGGCTTTAAGCCCCACCGGAAAAGTATGGCATTTTGCTTTTGACTAACTCCTTTTTCATAAACTATCGAAAAATACAAGAATTTTTGTGTTACAAATCGTTTTGGGTTTGAAACCAGCAATTTATCTGACAAGTTCGATTAATCGCCATGCAGTTAGGGCCCAACGGCAAGAAAGTTATCATCTTTTTCGTTTTCCTCATTACGTAATTCGACACCTAGGGGGTCGCCATACCTGTTACAAATGACTAACTTTTTTGTGTTATGAGCTCTCGGTCTATATGTCATTAGGGACATCTTAATACAATGTGGTATAGGAACTGCCAGTCAGAAGAAGGATTAAAAGGGAGTGTAAACCAAAAATCAAAATTTCTATAGAACAAATTTCAAAAACAAAATTTCAAGCCGGAACATTTAATGCCTAACGGTTTTCGAGATATTCGCAAAACAACCGTGGAAGCGTAAAGTCACAACCGCTCGGATACCGTAGACTCAGACTCTAAAAAAACCTGCAACTCTCACTTAAATATCGGTTGAATCAAATAGGTGAACCATGGCTCTTGGTTTCTCCGTATGAAAGTTTGTCAATACTAAATAGACTCAAAAATGAACCACCAGCCAGCGTATTACGGAACACTTGACGTCCTCGGGTGGAAATGAAGGATTTTAAAATAGCTTGGTAAAAAAAAAAGACTTCAACCATGATAATTATTGGCCCATTGCACCTTCTGATTCGTTTACCTTTATTTAAATGTGAAATTTAATTAAGCATTTTTTGACCCATCGTGAATGTCGCCCACTATCCACGCATAAAACAGACATTAGGTATTATTCTAATGTCTATTGCTTTTTGGGCTAAAGAAGTGCCATCATCTATTTCATGATTTACTAGAGGTCGCCCTCAAGCTGCTTCAGGTTATTTGTAAACGAGATTCGAACATTCGCGATTCATTTCGGTTTACTACATGCTGGTCTAATGGGTGACGACTTTCACTACTGGCCCCCAAAACAAATATTTTGTCTTCTGTGATTAAAACGGAGCATGGGTATCCCAATAATTTTAGGAACTAGTATTCCCTCCTGAAGAAATATTCCTATTCGCCGCCATATTCGAAGCAAATTGCATCAATAAAAAATATTCCGATAAATTGCTGTCATTCAGAATCACTTTTGGCAATATAACTTACCAAACAGGCGAATCGCTGCAAGCCAAAAATGTTACAGTTGGTAATAGACTCTTCCACAAATTAATCAAAATTCTCATATACATACTTATAATAAGGTCAGAAATCTTCAAAAACAAAAAAGTTTCATTACCTGAATTACGGACAAGAGAAACCTTGCATCTCAATAAATACCATTTGGCCAGATTTTCGGAAAAGAATGTTCAATTCAAATATGTTGGAGAATATAGCTCGAAATTTGGTAAGGAAACGTCAGAAGAAAACTATCTAATACCTAACTATTACATTTCAGAAATTTAGACTAGAAGAAATTAAAAACGTTTTCCTAAGTAAATCACTAAATATCGCTGATAAACTCAGTGAGGCTTCTGAATATTTGCTAACTTCAATAGAGACCTATTTGGACATATTGGAAACGAGCTTTGTGTTTGACTATGGCAGCGCTTTGGATCAAGAAAGGATTAAACAATGTAAAACTAGCATAGTAAGTATAGTTTCAAATTGATTGTAAATGACAACCTACATTACTACTTTAAGCTAGAAATCCTAAACAAACTTCTGATTTTGCAAAACAACAAATCCAAAAAAGTCGTGTATCGTAATTTGGAAGATTTCCAAGGCACAATTGAGTCACTAATTGAAGATGTAAGACAAGTTTGGCTTCAATGATCACTTTCTCAATCTAAAAGCAGCGTTGTATTTCTTTAGGTGCAACCATGTTGGCCGGACGTATACATATGGGTCACCTCCATAAATAAAAAATTGGGCTACCTTAGAATACCTGCAAGAAAAATCGTATTTTCGCCTATTGAAGAGGCAATCGGGGAGGATTGCGGAAAAGTGCGGCCTATGCTTTTTCTGGTATACCTACAATTTATTTTAACGCAAACATATCTTTATCCTCCTCATCATTATATAGATTGAAGGGAAATCGGACATCATTTGCAAAATAGAAGGGCTTCTTTGGATAGGTTTGGAAAAGGAAAAAGACAAATTCCTCCAAATGATACCAAAAGGATTCAAATACGAAGGGAAAATGCTTAAGGCTGTCGAAAGTCACGTGAGTGTAACATTTGATTTTAACATTGATGCACGGTCTTTGAGATGCCGAAATCAATCAGCAATTTGCCGAATGAAGGCCATATTCTACAACAAGAATAACGACGTTATTTTTCAAATTTCACCATTGAACAAAGTTCGATTTTTCCAATAGAATATCATATATTACTTAAGCTGTCTTCAAGCTACAAATTACATTTTAACAGGCAGCTTCCAATATCACTGCTGCAGATGACCTCAAAAAATCACTGGTCTAATATTAAAATGATCTTAGACAATGAAAGATTCGAAACGACGTTTACGTTTACTGATACTTCCAAAGAAACATTCACAATAAAAAGAAGAAGAAGAAGAAGACATTGACACTAGAACTCTATAAGAAGGAACGACCCAGATGAATGTCATACTGGTCCCTACGCAATGGTTGCAAAAATAAAAAACCTTTAGGAGACATATTTTATCGAAAACTTTTTACTTGATCAATAATATAAATTCGATATTCATGTTATTAACATCAATGTCAACACTTTCTATATTAGTTCCGAGTTCCGATATATACACCCAATTTTAATCAGTCAAGTTCTCTGTTCATACTATATTTTTCTAATCCAGATCTTTGAAAGTCACGCATACATTTTCGGAGGAAGCATGGATCCTGGTTTTGATGCCAGCGGTTTGGCCGATCCCTTCGTCCAATGCTGTTTGGGACAAGAAATGAAAGAGACTTTGGTAAACATCCAAATTATTTGTATTTTAATATCGTCAATATAAAACTTAATACCTATACATATAGATAAAATGGAGTGTATGCGTGCCAATATGGGACGAGACCTTGTTCTTCCACAATTTGGTGTTTTACGGAGCCAAGGAGCATCTGAAAGAGTACCCTCCAACTTTTTTAGTACAAATGTTCGACAAGGACCCCGTAAGTATTGTTAACGACTACCCCTCTAAATGTTTACAAAACCGATTTCTACACATTTTCACTCAAAATTAAATCCGGATTAAGACAGACTGTCCGGTCTATGGTCGCGTGGCGTCCGGCTTTGTCCGGCGTGTCCTTTTTTTCACCTGCCTGTCGGTTCGTCAGTCTTGTAATGAGGCATTTTAGCCAAAAACCTGGGGATTAGGCCTTTCACAATCAAACAAAAGTGCGGTAAATGGTACAAAGGGGTGGTCAAAAGTAAAGCCAGAGGGGTTTGACCCAAAGGGTGCAGTCTGCGATGGCGATTTATACTGTCTAATTTTTAGATGTCCACCGAATTTGTCGGCCGGAAACTTATAAAGCCCGAGATAATATTCTTGGACGATCCGGATCAACTGACTAAACTAAACAATCATGAGCTACACATCAGCGACGAAACTTTAGGGAGGATTTTGGCTGCGTTTCGACTCACAGAAGTAATAAAAATTTCATTAAAATTTGCCCTACGAGAGACGGAGATATAACGTACACCCTACATCGGTAACACTATTGCGCTATATTATGTAAAATTTCATGTTAGAAAACATTAATTATTTGTCTTTTGCTAAACTAATTCAAATAATTAAAATAACCATCTCCTGGATAAGCTTTGATAATAATCTATACACCAATATCTTCTTCCGATTTCCTTTTATCGGAAAATAAATGGAAATCCATGTAATCCTTGGGGTGTCAGATGGATTTAACAAGTAAATAGAGTCGCTTGGATTACATTTTGTTGATTTTTAAGTTTCATTAGGATAATGACTGCCCCCTACACTTTCCCTGATGCATCACAAAAACCATGTGTCTCAATATGGCTGGATTGTTGTATCCATCTGGAAAGTATTTGTCTGACATTTTTGAGCTGTGCTTGAAACTTCTATTTGGTTTGTATGTAGGATCGTGTCATCGTTACTCTTGTAACCATAATTCCAACTACTCCATTTGGTGAAATAGTTCAGCAACATCGAAACACATAATATTTCGATTTGTGCTGTAACTGTAGTTTTAAAGCCAAAGGTATCGCCTTGTGGTGCCCAGCGGATTCCAAGATATTTTCTTGTTCCATTTTTTGTGATTTATAGGGAAAATAGATCTTCCAATTCCTCAGACTGCGCAAGAGTTGATTTCTGTTACTGGATAATTCTGGTAAAGTGAATCCACCTAGAGTAGAACAATTTATTTTGAGCTGCTCAACTCTGAGTACTAATGTTTCTTCAATAGTATTGCATTGAAGATCATCTACATGAAAGTTTCGTGAAGCTGTTCATGGAAAGTTTGTGACTTCATCAATAATCACTAGCTATTTTGTTTCCTTTCCTTTCGTTAGCACAGAACCTCTTAAACACATAAAAAAAGGGTCGGAAACCGGTCGTGAGGCCATCCACAAATGCTTGGCGGAGATTGTGGACATTTTTGTCTTGCCAGATATTATTTACTGTGTGTCCTTCATTAATCCACGTTTCGTCCAGGTAATAAATGTTTATTTGTTCTCTTATGCCTACTTTCTAATATGCCTTGGATATTGTCTTCTCCAACAGCGTATTTCTTTTTTGTCAATCAAAATCAATTTTCTGCTCAGCTTTTCCCAACAAAAGTTTAACTCGTGTAATATTTTCCACATTTTTTTCTTCCCATTTCTAGAATTGCGTTGAGAAGGTGGAATAGGTGGATATTATTATTGGAGCTGTATATAGGCCTCTCGTCTTTGAACAGGCTAATACCCCAGTATCACAAAAATATTGGTAAAATATTATATTTACATATTGGCCCAAGAATGGAAACGACAGATTTTTTTTTTTTTTTGCCCAACATACCGGGTGTTTTTCAAAACCCGCTCACCCCTATAACTTTTTTATTTTTTAAAATAAACAGATGAAATTTGGTGTGTTTATTTATGACCCGGATGTGCATTATTTGACGTATTCAATTTTTTACTATCACTTCCGGTTTGACCGGAAGTGACCCTAACTTCCTTATTTTAAATGAGACGCCAGGTAAATTTTTCCTCATTTCAATAGAAAACTACATTACGAGTACAATGACACCTCATTTGTCATTTTTTGACATTTCACCTCCAAATTATTTAAATTACTTTTCAATCTAGAGCGCCATGAATAAGTTAAAATGCTTAATTTTGCTCCTAGAAACATGGGAAAATTTGTTTTGAGCTTATTTTGAATTTTATATCCTCTAAAGGCTCATTTAAAGTTAGTAGCAGCGCATTTTTGGAATTATATCAATTTTTTCAAATGGAAAGGGTATGGCTCATTAGCATATTTCGAGAGAGCATTTTCTAACAAACAATTCAGTACCACACAATCGCTAGTTTATTCAAATATTGAACTAAAATTTTCCAAAAATATTTCGAATGCTAGAAAAATTCTTAATTTGAGTGATGAACTAGCGATTGGTGGTACTGAATTGCTCGTTAGAAAACGCTCTTTTGGAACATGCTCATGAGCCATACCCTTCCCATTTGAAAAATCTGATATAATTCTAAAAATGCGCTTCTACTATCTTTAAATGAGTCTGTAGAGGATATAAAATACAAAATAAGATCAAAACAAATTTTCCCATGTTCCTAGGAGCAAAATTAAGCATTTTGACTTATTCATGGTGCTCTAGATTTAAAAGTAAAAATTTAAATAATTTGGTGATGAAATGTCAAAAAGTGACAAATGACGTGTCATTGTACCTGTAATGTAGTTTTCTACTAAAATGAGGAAAAATATACCTAGCTTCTCATTTAAAATAAGAAAGTTAGGGTCACTTCCGGTCAAACCGGAAGTGATAGTAAAACTAAAAAGAACTTGGCAACACTGTAAACGAATCTTGAATGGGCATCAAAAAAGGCAACTTTTTTCTAATTTAACCGACCTTGTAGCTCTTACCGATTCGGATATAGCAATAGTGGTATCACCTAAAATATACATCCTGTATATCACCAATATTGGATAAATATTAAATATAAACATGAATGAAAGATATTGCCAAACATGGATTGGATCCAATATTGGATCAATCTTGGATTCACATATTATATAATAATAATGTAGGAAAAAGATTATCTCCAATATGTTACCAATATTGGCTACAAATTGCTAATATTGGACCTATATACAATATTTTACTTTTGAGAATCAATATTTGGCCAATATGGATAAATATATCACTGTTATACTAGAAAAATTTGTTTTGCCATAATATATCCAATATTGGCTCAATAATGCAAATAAAAACATTATCTGTGCATATTGGTCCATTAATGGATACAATACTATGGTAATATTAGAAAAAGTTGTATTGCCAATAATCCACCAATTTTGTCCAAATAATGTCAATGAAGATATTTTTTCTGTATATTAGCCCATTCTTAAGTAAATTGCCCCCCCCTCAAGACCTTTAAATTTTATAAATAGTTCTTCAAAATTAAAATAAACAGACCCAAAAATACCGTCAAAAGACCCAAAAAAAGTGCCTGGCATCCAAAAATTTCGCGCCTGCGGTGCTTTGTTTCCCGCAGCGCTTGCGGTGGACCAATAAGAAAGATAAAGGAACACTTCCTGCAAAAATATATCCATCCAAACTCCGTGATCTGACCTTATATGCTGCCATCAGTTTTTCGGACGCCTAGTAGAATCTGAGTATATTCATTGACGCCCAAGATGGTGGGCGGAACTCTGTAACGCATATAGATCGTTACCCTTATCGCTATGGATGGCACTTGCTGTCTTTTTCTGTCTTGTCGAAATCAATAGAGAGGAGATGTCAATGGAGATAGAGAAAATATCTTTATCCGTTACAGAGTGCCAGCCCAGATTTCTGGAATGTTTTCCACAAGGTTATTGCAGGAGCTGGCCATCAAAAAAAAGTAGTTTCATCTGAGGAAGATATTACTAAAGTTCATTCCACGAAACAAGATAGTAGAAGTAAACAAACAGGCGGAGCTTAAAAACTCAGAGAAGGACTGCAAAAATATGAATTACAACTAATGACATTTATTATTGTCAGGTTGTCATATGAGTCAATAAGTTTAATGTCGCATTTCCTAGTATTTTACAATTATTTAAATAGTGTTTGGTGAATTATTGTTAATTAGTGAACTATTTAGATTAAAATAATATCAAGTTCAACAGATTCCGCTGAAGTATTCGTTTGGAAATATATTCAGAGAAGAGAAAAAAAAAACAAAACAAACTGACCGTCCTGCCTAGGGCGGAGTATATTCCTTTTCTAGCCAATAAAATTCAACTTACCTGTCAAAGTTTGTTTACTTCCACTATCTCGTTTCGTGAAATGAAGTTTACATCTTTCTGTCTTCACATAAATTCCTAATTTTTTTAGCACGTTTCTGAAACAGTTTGCACAGTATTCGTATACTCCAACCAGTAGCTGAATGTTTCCAAGAAATGATATTCCACTGCTTTGAGATTCCGTTGCGTAGTAGTTGATAGCTGTTGCAGGGCACCAGTGATTGGATCTGTAGTTGAATCAAATCCAAGCGGCATTAATGATATTGAATAACCTAAATTGTAAACAAACACCAGCTAGTAATCCAGCCTTCCTATTGGTTGAAACGCCTTATCAGGACTGGTGCGCATGCACGGAGGACATTTGATAGGTTGTAACACAGCCCCCTACATTTAACAAGCCATGAAGTTAAAAAGGCAACACCGCAATCTTACCGCCAAGTGGTGCTGTGGTCGATAGTTCCCACCGCGTCTTCTAGAGTGCGCTGTTTATTCAAGATCCAGTTTTTTCTAATTTTCATGAAAAATCTAAATGGCATAATATTATTTTTGTATTGCTGTGCTTAAAGAGCAAAAAAATATCTACATATTGGCGCAAACCGCAATTCAATATCTGCATTCGTTTTCAAGTTACGTAAGGTCTATGGTCTCCATAATATTGTACCTGGCCGACCTTAGTGGGACACCCTGTATTGTAAATATGAA